TCAGCTTCGAGAACCAGCACATACCTTCTAATTTCAAATCAGCCATTTGTGCCTGCAGCTGCTGTCTGGTGCTTGAAGAGTCATTTGACCAGATCACAAATCGGCTTGCAAGGCCATCCACAGAAATGACTTGCACAGGCAGGATGCCTCAGGCCTTTTACCTTTAGCCCTTTTTTGTATGTTCTCTTCTCTTAAAAGCATCTGTTGGACTGTTGCAACTGGACTTAACTCAGTTAAGTTCTGCACTGAAGACCTTCCACACACTTCACCCAGAGGCAAATTTTTACCATTTCTGGAAGTTAAAACCAAGTTAATCTTGGCCACAGGAAACAAGCTAGTAGAGATCAAAACAATACTGTATGTGGTCAAGAATCCGATGGTCCTGCTTCGAATAACAACTGCTCGGTAACTACAAAAGGAACATTTTTAATATTAATTATTCAAAGGAGGGTAAGTACAGTGAGCTTAGTCCAATTATATTTTCTCCAGCTAAAATGGAAGCCAGATTGCAAAATATATTAAGGGGATTTTGGCTGGGAGAGACAGACCACTTAACTTATCAATGTTTCTCTACACTTCTAATGCAACTAAAAGGACAGTGTTGGAATCAAAACCTTTTCATTATGCCCACCATAGCTTAAACTCAATATTTTTCCATTGCCTGCTTCCAGTGTGCCCGCACATCCACCCAAATAAGAACAGACCTCTTCTGTTTCTGATCATTGCTACTTCAAAAGGAAGGTCTCTACAGCTGAGAACAAGCTCCAACATCATTTCCTTTTGCTACTTGTGGAGAACTAAGAACAGTCCCGTTAAAAAGATTAAGTACCATTTCACTACCTGAAGAAAGAATAAAAGTGTTTTCTTCCCTTCACTCCACTTCTCCACAAAAGGAAAGTAGAATCTTCTCATAATATACATACATGGCCCTAATTCCCCAAAATATCTAAGCACCTAGAACATCTTCATGTTATTTATTCTTAGAGTACTATTATCCCAGTTGAGAAACTAAAGGCACAAAGCCTCTAAAATCAGTCTCCCAACCTTTTTTGCTGCAACCCTAAATCTGGGTTGCGACCCACGCACCGACTCAGTCATGCCTGGGCAGCACCATCAGAGCCCTGGCCAAGCTGGGATCATGGGGGTAGTGGCGGAGAGAGCTGTGTGGACCATGTGCTGGGAGAGTCCCACAGGCAGGAGGGACGGAGTGAGGGGTGGACTCCTCATGACCCTAACTTGGGTCACAACCCGAGGTTGGGAGTCACTGCTCTAAATGATTTGCCCAAAGTCAGACAGATGGTCTGTGACAGAGTAGGAACTTGAACCCAGGTCTCTCAATCACTGGGCCCATTATTTCTCCTCCATCTGAAAGACACCCAAGTCTCACACCAATGGGCACAGAACAAATATAGGATTTGGTATATTTGAAGAAAGGGCCAGAAAATATGAAGCTTTTAATTCAGTTTCTTCTGAACAAACAGATGTCATTGCTGCCAGCATCAAGAACATGCAAAGCAGTGACAGACATTGCCAACAAGTACCAAGTATGAAGTAAACAAGGACACACCTTCCTACGTGCAATGGCATTTTCCTGATGCAGGAATGAAACGAATAGCATCCAGCTTTAGCCAAGAAAATGGGAGTGAAGGGCCTACCAAAAATCAAAAAGTGATGACTCCCTGGCATTCTTCACTCTGCAAACTTGAATAGCCCACTCCGGCCATCATTGTTTCACCGGCCTTGTGAGTAGGGTAGAGTTCTGCAGACAACTCCTTTAACCACTGGACAGGTTTTTTTCTGGAAAAATTTAAAGCTAGTTATTGATGACCAAAGCCATGCATGCCCTACCTATCTATCGAGGTGGCAAAAGGTAATGGACACAGCCAACGGTGTTAGATTAGCCCTTAAGAAAACTATTCTAACAAGAAGCTGAACAGGGAAGGAGTTAATCATTGCCCCAGATCTACCCAAATTCTCAAAGCCCCATATCTTTTTTATGAAGAGAGACATGTAGAGGAAACTTTCAGCCTATGCCTTGAATTTTTATTCATTTGTTCATTCCCTGTGAAGGGGAAGCAAGACACCGCACCAAGTGGCATTTGATCTTATGTAGAATTTGGCTGAAGATGAGTTTCTGAACAGTAAGACCAATGAAAACCTCCATTATTCATATATAGTGTTTACAACCCACAATACTACACAACTTTTCTAAAGCATGAGGTTCTGGAAGTCACATTAGTGAGAAATGGGCTTGCTTCTCTCTGTTCATGGTTCAGAGAACTGCAGAGCAAAGTCTAAACAATCCAAAATTGGTTTAAAATGGATTAATCCAAATCACCACCACTGGTAATCAGTTTTGAAGTTATTAACCCAAGAAGCCCTTTAAACAACACCCAACACTAAACCTGAGAATAGTATGATGAGAAGACATGCTACCACAAAGTAGTGGCTCTTCAGGATCAAAAAACAGATGCAACATGACAGCAGAAAACGTCTTCTAGGGATTAATCCTGCACTGACAGGATAATTTCATAGAGCCTGCTTAGTAAAGAAATCTACAGCTCAGAAAGATGCATTAGGCAGACTGCAACATACATCTTGCAAAGCTTCTAGCACAGCAGGAACTCGGCCTTCAGTTCCCACAAAGAGGTGTTCCGATAAGAGTTTGATTGCCTGGCAAGGAAAGAAAAACCTCAAGTATTGCACAGCAACTAACGTGGTCGCTGGTGCCAATAACAGTCCTTCAGACATTCTAAAAGGAACCTCACCACTCTAATTGCTTCTGCATGTTTAACTGGCCTGCAGGTGCTCGGACAGAGATGAATAATCTTACTGTTAAAAACCGAAAATAGTTAAAAAACATAGATGGGGGAAGAGGAGGGGGCACTTTCAAATTGATGTAATGTAATCAGTAATACATCGTATAAACTAGCGCTTTGACTCCAGATTTTTATTCTCTCAAATTCACTTGCTCATTTTGCTTATGAACATAAAACTTCCATCAGAACAAACTATAGCAGCCTTCAACAACAAACTGAAACCAACAATATTGCTCAGAGCTTGGAGGGCTGGGGTGGGCACGGGCATGAAGGCACACAGTTAGCAGCCCAGAAGTTGCAAGTTTGAAGCCGTAACAGAAGGGATCACAGCCCAGCCCTGTCTAATGAATCTGCCAATTTTGCTAAATACTTTGTCACACAAGGACATGAGAAGGAAAGAATGGCTCAAAGCCACAACCTGACCGCATGCACACACGCACACTCCATTTTTCATCCTAACCCTATCAAGAAAACCTCCCTCTGGTAAGGATATTTGGTACAGTCACTTGGCAACATTTTGAACACAAATGCCTTTTCAGATTGAAGCATTACTACTTCTTGTGTTCCTAATTTTAAACATCTTGAAGAAATAGCTTCAGTAAACTGCCTTTTTTTCTTCTCTTTTTTTTTTTTTTTTTTTAAAGTTTCCAAAGTTTATTTTGAGAAGCTGATGAGGGAAAACATGCCTCTTTCAGGATTCATTTTGGAATGCAGATTGTGTCCTGGGCTCAAGGCTAACTTGAAAGCATCCCCATTTTTGAATTCTTAAGAGCCCGTCTAAAATTAGTTCCATTACTACCCAACCAAGAGATCTGTCTCATTCACAATTCTGTGAGCATTACATGCCCTATCAGAACACAACAAGGATCCAGGACTCAACAACAAGACTGTTCTTCAACTGCACAGTTGCTTCAGGGTTAGGTTTGCAGAACTAGATCAGCCCTGTATCTTGCAACAATAACGAGAAAGCCTCAAGACCAGACTGATATTGGTACCCAGGCAGGATACAGCATCCATTAGGTGTTTCCTCATACTTTAATAATGTGTTAGTATTGAAAATCATCACTGTTAAAGGGGTATGTCAGCTTGAACTGTTTTTAGCTGATTAGTCTCAGAAGACCTTTTCTGATACACCACTCAAGATTTAAGCCCAATTACTCCCCTGGACATTTGGGATAGGTCAAAGAACAACATCAAAACATGCCAGGGCCCATCCCTCTTTTTTCTCTGGATACACACCTGCTTGCTGCCCTTACCACTACTATAAACACCTTCACTGGGGATGAAGGAAGGGCATGAATGATGAAACCAAGAGTGAAACTGCCTATTCAACATGTTGTCAAATGCAGAAACATTTCCCTCCATCAGCTGGAATAATTGCCATATTAAGGGTCACACTTAACAATTTGGACACACACACATTTCTGAGATACAAAATTATCAAGTCACTGCCATGAGGTCATTGGACAAAGAATATCCATTTCAATACTTCTCCCCCTTCACAGTTTACTCTCTTGTTCTCCTTAGTCTTTGTTAAGAGCTTTGTATTCTTTGGAACCTTTCTGTTTGTGCTAGACTCCATGGAAATACTGCTTTGCTTATAACTGTACAGTTTGGGGAATTAATGCAGTACATCTAAAAATAAACACACTCCCCCCCTTCCATACATTCAACACTACAGCAAACCAGAATTCTTAGGCACCATCCAGTTCCACCTATGGCTGAAATAATACCATATCCCCTCTTTACAAGTTGAGTGAGCCAGAGATACCTTTTCATTTAAGAGCTCTCCCCACCTCACCCCAAAGAGACAAATGACTTTTTTTTTTTTTTTTTTTTTTTTTTTTTTTTAAGGTAAACCCCCATTTTTCAGTTTGTTAGCAAGCTACTGCATAAGATTATACTGTTGCCCATACATTTGAAAATTAAGTGTTTCAGTCTTCACAGTACAAGGTTTCACAGACTTCTGTCATTCCTTGGAGATCTCAGAACTACAACAGCATCTCCCTATACCTAAAGAAGGGTATTTGGTGCCTGAAAGTTTGCAAAGAAAGCTTGCCTATGCCCTTAGACAAACATGGCTACAACGCCAAACCCTGCAGGTTTCACACACAGCATTTAGAAATAATACAGTTGGGGGCGGGGAGAAGGTGTTGGGAAGAACAAAAGTATAGTTCATACCTTATTTGTAGCAGTAGCACTGGATCCTGGGACCACAGGCACATTTGTCACTTGCACTGATAAGTAGTTATTGTCTATCAGAGGCCAGGCCCCTTCCACCTTGCATGTCTGAAAGTGATCCTTAAAAGTCCTAAGGTGGGGATCACCAAACAAACCACAAAAAAGGTAGACAGGAGGAGTTTGCTCCCCTCCCCGATGTTCTCTGGCTCCTGTACGACTACTATAATTGCAGGGATCGTGGGTAACTTCAGGGTTAGTAGAGGACGTTGGCCCATCCTTGGAGCAGTTTCTCTGGCTCATGAGGTCACTGATCCCTAGCACAGCAGAATGGTAGACTAGGTTTCCACGACAGACTTTGGAATTACGATAGGTGCAGGCTGCATATGCCCGCAGGGCCTTGCAGAACTCCAAATCAAAGCCATCAATTGCAGGGTTTAGATGCGACGTTAATGATACAAAGTCTGTGGTGCACTTCTGGATTCGACATGGTGTTTGTAGTTGGCAGTCACCTAAGCAGAGAACAGAAGGCAAAGAGGTATCAAGTATTCTAGAGTACAACTCATTATATTTTTTCCTAGACGCTAAACAGTATCAAGCTTAGGGTTACTTATGACAGTATCTTCCCTCTTTCTCCCTTGAGAAATTTTCTGGAGAGAGAGAAAAAAAAAAAAAAAGTTCAGAAAACACTACAGGGATACAGACTGCCTTTGTCAAAGGCTGAGGTGACCCAAATATGTCTTAATTTTCATGAAGACAATAGCAGGTAAGTAATGTAAAACACTAATGCCTGCCAAGTATGAGCCAAGCATTTCTCCTCTTGATTATATCAAGATGATGTTGCAATTCCATGCTTAAATTAATCAGTCAACAACCAACTCTCCCATTTAGTCTTTCAACACTTTTCATGATGAGCTGGTTAAAGGTGTTAGTTTTTTTGCTAAGTCCTATTCATGTGAGGGGGACAAGGCAGAAGGTAACCGACAGGTTTGAAGAAATAACCTTATGCTCCAGGAAGTGAGTTGAATGAAACAGAGATCAAAGTCACACCCTGCTCAAGAAAGGAAAAACACAGGCCATAAAACTTAGATTGTTTGCATTCTTGGGCAATGCCATAGCCACAGTTTCAGTAGTCCTTGCTACAGACAGTGAGAAACCCTACACCTGTTCAAACATACAGTTGTCAGCTCTAATAGCCAAGCAATATAATAGTTCAAAGAAAAAAAATATCACAGTAGATACTAAAACACAGGCACTGGATTTACATTACAGTTTGCAAAACTATAGCAAAACAAGTTTCACCTCACTTGTTCATTTAGCTTCTGGAAAGGGGGTATTACCTACAATCCCACCAAATAAATCTGTTTCGCTTGTCTCCTCCTCTGTTCTTTCAACATTACTGTCTTGCTCTCAAACCCACCAAGATGGACTCTGCATCTAATATTACTCTTGGATATAACTAGGAACCTACCTAAATTGCGTTTTTTTTCAGATTTCACAGAAACTGCTAAAAACAGTATTGTCCACGATTGCTGGGAAATCCAACATTGGCTGCAATTTCCCATAAAATCAACCAAAAAAAACCCAATCAGTAGTGAGACAGACTTAGGGAAGGTGCCCTCTGCCAGTCAGTGGTTAGGGGCAAAGAAAGTGGTAATAATGTAGACTGAGTAAAAGCACCTTTCGCCAATCAGTGCCGAGGGGCAGGGCCGCTACAAAATGCCTGTAAAGATCAGCTCTGCACACCGCGAGCTGGCTACAAAAAACGCGTGGTCTTGCTGCAACTAGACATAACACTTACCACCGATCAGCTTTTGTGGGACAGGAAACAAGACACCACCAGGGCCCCTGGGCAAAAGCAGGTGCTTGGAGAAAGATAGCCACTTTCCTATGGGTTATGGAATGAAGAACTGGAGTTACCAGAGGTGGGGACCGAACCTATGTTGGAATTTGTATGCTTCCCCAAAGGGAAAACATGCTTCACTGGAATTAGAACTAGAATTTGAAAACCCTGAATCAATGCATATTACACAATAGTATACTACAGAAAAAAAATCCAACCACGCTTACTTGGAGACATGAGCTAGGAAAAACACATACTGATTTTCAAAACTACACTGAATAGGGGAAGTTATCAGTTATTCAACAGCAGGTGTTGAAAACTTGGGAAAAGAGTATGTAAACATGAACTGGCAACTGGTTTTCACGATGCATATGTTTGGGAGAATCATCAACCTCCCTACACACAAGTCCTGTTTTAAGAAGTGTTACCTTAGAAGCCAATATGATCTAAGTACCAATTTGCTTTTGTATTCTAGCATTATCTGCTGTACAGTAGGAGCACACAGATGCATGCACAAACACAGAAGACAACAGTCCCCATCTCTAAGAGACGACAATATATGGAAAGAACAAAAGTTTGAGAGAGAGACTTTCCAAATTTTAGCCAGAGGTCACTGTATAACCTTAGCATTTTAAGACAGCTATACCCCATCATCTTCAGGATGTGAAGCAGGGGGAAGACTAAGCCAATACTTATTTTACAAAAAGTTACTGCAAGTGGTAGTCAGAAGTACTATATTCCACATCCAGTTAAAGGAGCAAGAGCTACAGGCTTAAATCCAACATTTACATACTTCCCACCCCACCACTGCATGTCTGCCAGGAAGGTATAAGGGTACGTTTTCAATATACAACTGTTTTAGATGAACCCTCACCTTTGCATAGCTTACATTTTCCCAGACAGGAATGTTAAGAAAGAGGAAACATCTGAAATGTTATTCCACCTTCTTTACACTTAAAAGTAAGACTCCTTCCCACACTGGAGTGTGCCGCTAGATAGGTTTCCTATTAGAAAACTGACAACAATATTAATTTAAGTACTCTACAGTCTAGTTACACTAAACTTATTTCTACTGTACAGTGTTAAGTGTTACGTCTTATTTTTTAAGGGTTGTAAGATAGGGAATTTCCATTTCTGAGCAAAAAGAAACATGAGCCCTACTCCAGAGAACAGGACAGAGTTTAAATAAATCCCCGAATGATCAGCTTTTTACCAGAACAGACATCAATACTGAAATGCCCACTAGAAGTGGCCAGCAGAAGTTAAAAATGACTAGTTTTAAGACTTGACAAAATATCTGCCCAAACATCAGCAGCTTCCCACTAAAACATGTTGTACCCATTTGTTCTTTTTATGAGCTATAAAATTCAGCTGTGTATACATTTGTTTGTAATTTCTGTCATAACACATTAAGATTAAGAGGGGGCGTGGACAGACGAGAATAACGTGTGTGTGCATGCTGGGATAGAGAAGGTAACCCCCCCCCCGCAATATATTCTGATTATATTCTTGTTTTCTCCCATCAAGGCCCCTTTTTATACTCCTCCCCAATTTTAACTTTTTGTTGCTCTCTGGCATCGTGGTGTAAGAAGCTGTGTGTGTGTTTGGGGGCAGGGGGATCCTTTAAAAAAAAATTCTGGTTACAAGTATTCTTAAGTGAAAATACATTTAAAAAGGCAGAGGGAACAAGCAGCTCTGTGTAACCTTAAAGTAAATTTTAAATCCATTTGTTATCTCAAATTCAAAAGGAGCTAGAAGAGAGAAAAGATTACCATTTTCATCCCCTACCCCAAGCTGACCTTCCTTTACTACAACTAACCCACATTGTACACCCAGAAATATCCAGTGTTCATGAATTTATAATGACAATGCGCACTTTGCCTGTTATGGGTAGCTAAAGTAAATGTCTTGTCACAATGCCAAGAGAACACAGAGTAAAAAAATCCAACAAAACAGTCTCAGCGATCTAGCCAAGAAAGGCCATGAAGCGTGCAAGTAAGCAAGCAGTTTCTCATTTGATCTTCATTCAGGAAACACAAAGCTCGGCTAAAAATACATAAATACAACAGGCTTTCTGCTCCAGAGGAGGAATTCAAAATTTACAGGTACATGCTTATAAAATGGTTTGGTTCCAGAATCCAAATTTAAAGTGTAACTGCTTCAAGATGACATTTAGGAACAGGCTCAGTACAGCTCCTCCATTAACAATACAGATGTTTTAGAAATCCTACGCCAAGTTCCTTCCAAACAATATCACAAAAAAAAGTTCAGTGTATGTACTTCAATTTGTACTGTTGTATACTATTTTTATAAGGGCATGAAGTACAGAAGCATAAAGCCACATTCCTGTAAATTAAACTATACGGGGAAGGCAAGGCAAGCAGTAAAAGGTACAGTAGTGACATATGCTTATCTATAAAGAAGCGCCTGGATAGGCCCCTTTGCAATTTATAGAAAACCCATCCCATTTTAGAGCAGCCTGGCACTGCTCTGAGGACCATCACCACACAGAGGGAAAGTAAGCAAGAAACTCTACTAAATTCTGCGGAGGACCAATCCTGCAATCACGTCAGCAGGCAAATAACTCTACTGAAATTATAAACATTTTAGAGGAAGTACTAAGCAAGAAAGTAAAAGCTCTTTCAGGACCAGACCTTCACCGTGGCAATAGACTTTATGGAGGGCTGTAAAGTACTACCAATTCTCATAACTTCCCTGAAAAGAGCCATGTAGCATCATTATCTAAACAGCACCAATTTCTGAGCCAAACTCTGCCAATTTGCCATGGTTAACCTGGTAAAGAAATTAAGCTATGTCAGAACCTCTTCTATTCCACAGCTTCCCGTCACGTCAGCAGAGTTCTCACTCCAGGAACTCAATCCAACCAATTTTTCACTGTGACCCATTTGCTTGAGCTGTCACAGAATCACGAGTGCCCAAATCGGGAATGATGTCTTTAAAAAACACAAGAAATGTGCACTCACAAGGATTTTGTATCACTGTCATCACAAGTAACGGGAGATACCAGAGCATAGGTTTCTCCAGGAAAGAGTCCTCAAGAGACACAAGAGGGACGACCTTATTCTCTAAAATGATCAGAACAAATAAGCGAATCTGTGGGCCCAGCTGACATCAACGCGTGGTGGAGCTCAGAACAAAGCCATGACTCAGTGCCTCTTGATACGAGGCTGGATTTTTATTACACCATGTCAATTTAAAGCCAAGGATGCGTTTCCTAGAAACGCTGGCCACTCTGGGCTCCTTAAAACCAGATCTAATCTACTTTGGTCCTTCAGGTGCAAAGCAGAGGCCCGTTTCTGTCAGTCTGGATCCCCTTAAAACTTTCCTCCTGCTCCGAAGAGCTTTCCTTGTCCCAAGAACAGAATGGGTGCGAGGCGGGGAGGGCGCTCCCTCAGAAACAAGAGGTTTCAGAGGGAGCCCTGAAGGAGCAGGCGGTGACGGCTGCCTGGCAGCTCACGGGCAGGAGCCCCGAGGACCCAGACAGGCTGCCCAGGCCCATGAAGTGCTACAAGGGAAGGGCCCAAAGGGGAATGAAGGGGCTCCGGCTGCTGCAGAGCCGGGATCAGAGTGGGGCTGGGAGAGCGGGAATTCAAGCCTATCCACGAGGAAACATGTCCACCCCCGTGAGGCTCCAGGTGCCCGCTCGGGGCAGGGGCGGGAAGGGGAACCCGAGCGCGAGCGCGGGCGCGGACTCGGACTGGGGCCCCGCTCCGGCCGGGGGAGCCGGCGGGTTGAGCCGGGGAGGGGGAAGAGCAGCAGGTCCCGGGTGCCAGCCCCCCGCCCCGTCCCCGGGCAGCGGAGGGGCCGT